ACATTTTCAGAGCTCCAGCCAGACTGGGTAGTCACCTAAATATCAGTTAGAGTTTCAAATAGCAGCCTTTGCCATGGGGCTTTGCGACACACCTTTGTGTATCTGTTACAGACGTGTAACTGGTTTGTGTCAACTGGTTTATTTCGTGTGAAAAGGGTGTGGCTACTGAAGGCAGTTGCATCTAAATGTCTTATGTTTATAGTAAAAAATAGAACCTGTTATTTATTTTTATACTTGTATCTGTTGTCAGAAAGATACGCTTTGTGCTGCGTGGAAAAGGCTGTCATAAAGGACACCTTAATGTCACTCAGTAATCATTGCCATGACATCCAGGTTGGCTTTGGAACCTCCCCGCTGCTCTTTGTCAGACAGGTTTGTGGAGAACAGCGGCAGACTGCTGGCCTCAGCATTTTCTGCCTGTATTGATCTCCCCACATTAGCTCTCTCTTCATGCACAGACATGAGCACAATTGCTTCCCCTTACAACGTTGGCTGCCGTGGCAACTGAGTCCTGATCGTGGGATTTCGCTTTCCAGAGAACATCTCAAACCTCTTCATTTTTAGCGATGCTATCGTCTCCTTTACGTTCCCCCCGTACATATTTGACACATCAATGGCTTGATTTGCCACTTACAGCCATCTCCATATGTCTTTGTGCATTTTTTGAATAGGCTAAGTGCTTAACAGGATAAAAGAGCAGTTTGAAAAAAAAAAGGGGGGGGGGGGATATGTGGCTTGGCACCTGCTGTTAGTGGCTGCCTGTTTGCACATGAATATGATGAGGCTGGGCGGTGTGCGAGGCTATTTTAACTTGCAGATGAGCCATCAGGTCAGCACCGTCGCAGCTTTGGTGTATTTTCAAGGATGAGCTTGCAGTCAACAGGCCAGCGCGGCTTATTAGCTCCCTCTCCCCTCGCCACTCTTTTGCACACGAGTGTCCCATTATTCACTGCATTCCCAGCCGCCTCTCTTTGATGCCTTTTTCATAAGAGCAATGATAACTGAGATCATTGCAACACCAGTGGTAATTGACCAGCTGCAGTCACTGTAAAACACTTCCTGTGTTTGGCTGCGGCTCTCTCTCTCGGCCGTCCACCCCGCCTCCGTTGATATTCAAATTGGCGGTCCTCTGGAGGAGCTTCTCAAACGAGGGTAAGCACTCTCTGGCAACCTAAGGGCCCAGCTGAGAGGTCAGGGCTGTGGAGACGGACGGAGGTGAAGCTCTCTTGTGCTTTAAGGTTAATCAGAGTCCTGACACTTTACCCAGCCTGGACTTCTTCTCATCGCTCCGCCCTTAAGACTGAATAAAGATTACAGCCTGGGCATTTATGGCCTGTGGAAGAAGAAGAAAAGAGAACCTTATGGAGTGTTTACAGCCGACCCCTGGGTCCATAAAACACTTTGGCCACACCTGTAATCAAACAAAGACCAAATTCAGCCACAAGGCCTTTTTTTTTGCCACACCTGTGTTGGCTTGTGGTTTAGTGTGTGACCTAAATGTTGTCATCCACATCTGTTAGGTAACACAGTCATTGATATAGACTTGACTTAAACTCACAGCTAACAGCATGAAATGAGACAGCCAGGGATCCTTATCAAATAGCGTTCTCAATCCTGTCTTGGTTCTTTATGAAATCCACACAAATATAAAAAGTGATTTGCCTTTAAGGCTTTATACACTTTATATTCTCAAACGAGGTTAAGCACTCTCTGGCAACCTAAGGGCCCAGCTGAGAGGTCAGGGCTGTGGTGCCCTAGATGCATGAAACCAAAACAAGTCACGCTGCATTGTTGTGTTAGCATGCTAATGCTAGCGATCTTTATTCTGCTGGTATCTTCACACTGCATGTAAATTTACCTGAAATGAGCGTGATCTAGAAACACAGTTAAGCAGTGAGTACAGTATGTTATTCTTCTTTTCTCTAGTCCCTCAATTAAACAACTTTTATACACGAGGTGATGAGTCAGCCGGCCGTCCCGGCGATGTAAACAAACTGAAGATAGGACTCTGAAAACTCTGAAAACATCACAGACAGTGGGACTCAGGTGTTACACCCATTGTAGACAGTCATGACTCACAGAGTTATTTTCAGAGGATAGACTTGATTTCTGTTACATTTAAGAGTGAAAAATCACATATAAAGACTTTAAAATGTCAATTTATTTTAGAGCATATCGATACACTTTGGTCGTTTTCACATATGTACTCCTGAAAACTTCTAGAGACGACTGCCCCCTGAAATTCTCCTGATCTTTTTGTCCACAAGTGAACCTCACTGAAACGGACGGATGATGTTGCTTTGATGCGACACAAAGGTAAACAAAACCATCAGAGACAATTTAGAGAGCAAAGAGATAAGAGGTTCTGCTTTGTCTACAGGGGGCGCTAAGATCGACACAAATAAACATACTACTTTCTACAAGCTTCCTTTATTAAAAACGATATTCAAGCTGGCAGCATTGTCAAATTATACGTTGTGATTAATACAAATAAAGCTAATTATCGGCATAGTTATTGTGTTTATGTCGTTCCCCGTGTCACCAAATCCCTGCCTCAACATTTGATTTGAATTTCCCTCGGGATCAATAAAGTATCTATCTGTCTTGATTTAAATGCACTGGATGTTTGGCTGGTGCACTCTGCCAAAGTCTTAATTTAGAAATCATTCTTGGAAGTAGAGGAATGATTTTTGTCTTTCAAACCCAGCAGACTATAGTCTGTCTGCATTGCTCCCTCGTCTATTTGTAAATTCATCCAGAGTAGGAGCCTGTCATGTTGAGGGATATCTTTTTGTGTTTTGGTCTCTTGAGCGGAGGTTTTCTTTTAACACAAATGGGCAGTTCTCTCGCCGGCTGACACATCTGATTGCTCTACTTTGCTGAGAGCTGTGATTCATCCTAGACTGAGGATAACTTACACAGCCCACCTCACTGAGTCTCTCTCTCCCTCTCTCTCTCTCTGCCTTCCATAAAAGGATTTCCCTATTGTTATGTCCCTTCCTCTGAACACTCATCCTGTCCCTTTGCCTTTGGCCTGGAAAGCTCTGTGACTTCCTCTTTTTTTTTTTTAAGTGTTCCAAATCGTAGAAGTATAACGAGTAGACCGATCATTTCAATGACACTGACATATAAAACGAAGACAATGGAAAGGCAGAATCCAGGACAAAATGTAGCTCACATGACGTCATCTGAAGAGCAGACAGGAAGTGCTTTAAAAGGCTGAATAAATCATGATGGTAGACTTAGAAGTCCCACTATAAAAAAGAGGATCCCTGCTATATGTTTATCCCCCTCGTTGAGAGCTGAGTGGTCATTTTGTAAATGCACTAATGCCTACTCCTCCCCCCCCTCATGTCCTCGTTGACAAACTGATTTGTGTGTGTGCGTGTGTACACTCCCTCTCCTGTCTCACCCACTGTGCAAACACTCTCGAGGTTGACCCAATTCTTATCTTATCGCAGAAATAAAAAAGATATCCGTCTCTCTCTCTCTGTGTTACCTTTTGCTCTCCAACCCCTCCAGAACATCCTGGACCCCCCTTTTTTGGGTCTGGACCATCTTGTGTCCAGCCACGGGGTTTCTACTCAGTGGTCATCTGTAGCAGGCAGAGACAGCTACTTACTCCTCTGCATCTTTACATCCTGTTTGTGGGATTTCTGCTCTTAATTAAGGGCACGGTGTGTTTGTCATGGTGACGCTCGGGACAAAAGGCTTGTTGTTAGCCGAGCCAAAGAGGGATCTCTGAACTTCATACGTTAAGTTCACATTATGCTGCTGCTTTACAAGATGACATACCAACAATTCCTCCAAAGCTGGAGTATCATTGTCTTATTAATAAGGATACTTGGCTAAGTACAGGGCTGAAGGCTGTATTACATTTCCTAGTGCTGTTTAATGACCGATGACTTCCAGCTCTGTAGCCTCTTCACACTACTTCATCTGACATGTGACAAATTGAGTCTTGATCCTCGCTGTATGCAGATCAGTCTGTGAGAGCCATCCACTCGGTAAGATGGAGACCCTCCACTCATTCCCGTGGCCGTCTCATGGTTTCACGCTCATTTACACATAACGAGCAGCTGGGCCTCGTCTCAAACGAGGTGGGCGTCGAGGAGTGGAGCCTTAAGTCGGCGCAGTTTCTTGAGAGGTCCTCCTCCTCGACTCGAGTCAAGAGGAGAGGGACGGCTGAGAGCCTCTTCCTGCGTCCAAGAGGGGGCAGTGAGAGGGCCACAGGGGGAGCAACAGAGGCAACAGACAGGCACAGCCGCAGGGGGGTGTGGCCCCCGGGGGAAAGACAAACAGGGTCAACGCTTGGACGAGCACATCATTCCAATATGTCACATCCAGTTATGTCTTACCGCCAACGTTGTTTAGAAATCAGTCAAAAACTGTGATTTTCTGTCAAACACTGAAGCAACATAAAACCCAAATAGCAAGTTTTTTTTCTATGATATAGAACCATTCATCTGCAGTCAGATATTCAGAGATGCTTAAAGGCTTTCTATGCGTTTTTTCATTCTTAAATGTAGCAGAAATCAAGTATATCCTCTGAAAATAACTCAGTGAGTCATGACTGTCTACAATGGGTGTAACACCTGAGTCCCACTGTCTGTGATGTTTTCAGAGTTTTCAGAGTCCTATCTTCAGTTTGTTTACATTGCCAGGACGGCCGGCTGACTCCTCCCCTCGTGTATAAAAGTTGTTTAATTGAGGGACTAGAGAAAAGAAGAATAACATACTGTACTCACTGCTTAACTGTGTTTCTAGATCACGCTCATTTCAGGTAAATTTACATGCAGTGTGAAGATACCAGCATAATAAAGATCGCTAGCATTAGCATGCTAACACAACAATGCAGCGAGAGTTGTTTTGGTTTCATGCTGGTGCTCAAGGGCGACATCTGCTGGATCAAAACATCACATATAAAGCCTTCCTTTTTTAAATATTTCAAGCTGATTTCTTTCTCTAACACCTGTTTTCTCCTCTCTCTCTCTCTCCAGACCTCTTTGATTTAATGGGTCCAATCATTGGGATGTCACCAGATAAGAAAACGGAAATTCCGGGTATGCAAGAGGAGCGGACGGGCCTCCGAGGTGTTTGCGGTGTGGGAACGCTGCCCGAGGCGGAGTGCGCGTCCAGTCCGCTGGCGACGAGCGTGGATCGTGCAGGAGGCGCGGAGGATGAGGAACTCACCAACCTCAACTGGCTGCACGAGAACCTGCTTCAGAACTTCACCCTGGGGGGTCCCGAGGCTCAGCCCAGCGGCAGCCCCCTCTTTGACATAGAAGGAGACTACGGGTCGAGCCAGGGCCCGTCTTCCTCCTCGTCGTCATCATCGCCAAACGGCCGAGGCAGGGAGCGGGACTCGATGAAGTCGAAGCCCCCGTTCTCCTTTTCCCTCCTCATATACATGGCCATCGAGCAGTCTCCCAGCAAATCTCTGCCCGTGAAAGAAATCTACGGCTGGATTCTCGAGCACTTCCCGTACTTCTCCAACGCTCCCACCGGCTGGAAGAACTCGGTTCGTCACAACTTATCTCTGAACAAATGCTTCCGCAAGGTGGAACGGAGTTTGGGAAAGGTACGTTAACAAGCTCTCTCCTGACTTTCACTTCACACAGATATACAGAAAAGACAGGTTTTTTTTCATGCATTTCTTAGCTTTTCAAGTCTTCAGTTGCCCATGTGCCAGCTTTTTAAATCAAATTCAATGTGGGCATTTTACATTTTTCCAATAACAATCTCAGTTTAATAGTTTTAGTTTTTTGTTTTATTATTGTGTCACCACAAATTAAAAACGTTCCCGAATCAGAGTGCACTAGGTAAGCTATATTCATTCTCAAGAAACAAAAAGAGAAAGCAAGAGGTCAAACTAATCAAACAGAATATGCTGTCTTCTTTTCCAAGCATTTGAAACAAAATGAGCAAGTTTAAACACATCAAACTTAAACAGCCATTCCAGTTTCTGCACATCTTTACGCCCCAATATTTCTGATTTTACTTCATGAAACAATAATTCTCTTAAATCATCATATTTTGTACAATGCAAAACTCTGTTTCAACTTCGTCCAACTCACTCATCTCACAGAGTCTGTTTTCTACTGGAATATTTTTTGATCGTCTTTGCGCCCTTTTCAAATAAATATGGGCTCTCATTGTTTTGTAAATGATCACATTCTATGGGGTTGTAAAGTTAGAAATTCAAACAGTTCACTCTTTCTAAAACTGTAATATTTGTGATGGTATGATGTTAAACCTTCAAGATGTGGCTCGATTGTTTGGCCAAACACTGAAGGTGAACTTTTTTTTTTTTTTTGGTGAAGCTGCAGTAAGTCTCATGTGACACTGCCGGCTGTAACACAGTCGCAGAGACCTCTGACTCTGCTGAGATAAAGCTGAAATCCAGTCAAGGTCACCGTTATACTCCTCCAGAAGAAAACGCAAACACAGCACACTGAGATAGCACTCTATCTCCCAAAGCACCACATAGGCAGAGCAACTGTTTTCACCCAGCAGAGAGAGAGTCGCTTATCAAAACCTCAAAGTCTCACTGAGAGTAGGAAGGAGATGTGAACTAAAGGGCACTAAGGAGTTTACAGGAGGAATGTGTGCCACTCATTCACATCAGTCAGTGTCCCGGTGTAGAGAAGAAAATAGAGAAGATGACCCTCTCATGTGACAAAGAGATAAAGACTTTTGAATACAATGAATGGGAAATAAGTCTTCTTTTTGTCGGGCAATTGTTTATTTACTTCCTAACTGTTATAATGTCCATTCATCTATCAAACCCTAGTGATGGAAAATGTGCTGAATAACAGAAATGGTATAAAAAAGAAGGAATAAAAAATGACTACATAAAGCCGGTTTCACTTGTGCACCACTGAAAATGTCTATTTTGATTTGAGGAGGACTGCCCCTGAAATCGTCCTGATCTGGTTGTTCACACATGCACCTCATAGCGGGAGAATATCCCTGTCAGACGGAGGGGTGGGGGGGGGGATTCCTGATGCAAGACCTGATTTTAAAAGAACGACCCAGAAGTGACAGTCCGCTATGCGACTCCTTAATGAGAATATTTGTCTTTATATCAATGCTAATGTGCAGTTTGACAGAATCACAATATCAAAAAAAGAGTGGAGAAGAACATACTGGAGAACAGGAAATATAACGCAGCAGGTTTATTACAGCACAGAGATGGGATCAGTCTTATGGACGTAGTCTATGAAAATACATCCTGTATGCGTTCACACATGAAGCTCAACCCGTGTACTTCAGGAGTTTTTCAGGAGTTTTGTGTGAGGGTGAATAAAGGCTTAAGCAACACTAAAATGTTAAATATCTTAATAGTTTGCAGCACTCAATCTGAATCTGTTATGTTCCTCTTTGAGGTCAGAGGGGGGCGTTTAGGAGTTTAAGAGTTCCCAAAAGCGCTGATTGTGCGAACATTCAGGCAAAAAACACAAAAGAGAACCAGTAACCAGTAACCAGTAACCAGTAACCAGTAACCAGTAACCAGTAACCAGCTCGTAGTAAGCGTGCACGTCCTATGCTTCTTTTGGAATCGGACAAAAGCTGAGAAAGCGTTTCTTAGGAAGCAGCAGTTTAGTATGAGTCATCAACATTATAAAATTATTTTCCAAGAACGCCCAAACTGTGATGTCATCAGGAAATACCAAAGCCACTTACTGGTATTTGTCTTAATCACATGTGGAGGTGTCACAAAACCAGAATTTTAAACTTAGTTTGAAATGATGCTACTGATAAAATCAAACTGTATCACCACCTGGCTGGTTTGATACCATGGCAACAAAAATACCAATCCTAGGCACATGATGTTTGCTAATTCTCTGTTTTTAAAAACTTTATCCATACCCAAAGATTCAGACAGTGCTCTCTCTCTTTCTCTCGCAGCAGCTTTTGGTTACTACATCATTTGTTTGCTTCTTTCTGTGCCGCACATATGTAAGAAAAATAAACCTAATTACTGGTTTGGTTTTCCTTGGAAGTTTTAAGCTCATATCGAAACAATCTTTCATGTTCTTTGTGTGAACTTAATCCTGATAGTCACCAAACCTCTTTGCCCATCCTGTCAGGGTGGCATTTCTTCATATTTGATCGATAGTGGCAACGGCAACGGTGGCAAACAAAGCCAAAACATGTCATCGCAGGTTCATCAAACGTTGCTCAATCCTACTCGCTCTGTTATGTAACACAGAGAAACAGAATCCAGTGACATAACCAAAAAGCTGTTTCAAAGACGATCATTACAAAACATCTAAATATGACTTTGATACGACCGTGAAGAATTGATTTTGTGTTCAGTTTCAGTCGAGTTTTAATTGTCAAAGTTTTACAGTGTAGTCACATGATGTCTGTGTGTACAGTCCCTCCTGTGTTAGACTTATAATAATAAGGGTTGAGAATCACACGGTGACTGGCCTCCGGTAATGATGACATCATGACACAGCGATTCTGGAATTTACTGATTTACTGTAAGACGGTCTCTTAATGATGCATCATAAAGAAAACATCATGAACTGAAGATTAGAAACTCCCTAAAAAGATCAAATTCAGGATGAATTCATTTATTCTGGAGTTTATCAGAATAAATGTATAATGAATAATTTATCCTGCTGTCTTCTTCTTCTTCTCTTATCCCCGTCTTCTTCTTCTTTACTTATCCTGCTTTCTTCTTCTTCTTCTCTTATACTGCTGTCTTCCTCTTCTTTTATCCCGCTGACTTCTTCTTCTTCTCCTCTTTTCCTGTTGTCTTCCTCTTCTTCTCTTATCCCGCTGACTTCTTCTTCTCTTATACTGCTGTCTTCTTCTTCTCTTTTCCTGTTGTCTTCCTCTTCTTCTCTTATCCCCGTCTTCTTCTTCTCTTATCCCACTGACTTCTTCTTCTTCTCTTATCCCTGTCTTCTTCTTCTTCTCTTATCCCTGTCTTCTTCTTCTTCTCTTATCCCTGTCTTCTTCTTCTTCTCTTATCCCTGTCTTCTTCTTCTTCTTCTCCTCTTTTCCCACTGTCTTCTTCTTCCTTTCTTATCTTTCTGTCTTCTTTTTCCCGCTGTCAACTTCTTCTTTGGCCAATTAACTTGCGTTCACATCCCCCTTATATTCATGTCCTAACTGCAAACTAAGGAGTCATGAGGAAGTGATGAAGGGGACATTTGTGAAGAATGCTGTATATAAAAAACACCAGAAATTCAATAATTGTCAGTTTTTGTTACATTGCCGTATGGATATTTTGTCCATCCCTTAACGTTCGACCTAACTTTCATGTTTCTCGACTAATTAATGGATTTAAACTGTCAAGTCCCTTCATTCATAAACCCAGAAAGTGATGGAATCGGAATAAGGGAGATTAAATAAAACAGAGTCATGAGGAAACTTGAGACAGATTTAAAAGTAGAAAAAAAAGCTTTTTATATGATTTGAAACTGTCAGTGATCATCGTCAGCAGCGGCCATATTGAGCTTCAGTGTGAGTTCATGCTTGTGACCGGCAGAGTCTGTGATGCCAGCGCTGTGCCTGGCTGAGACCTCATATTCGCCCACCGTGGGAGGGGGATGGCGGTTAGCACTCGGCGAGCAGTGACATGGTGAAGGCGCAGGCCGCTCAGCGTGCAGGTGCTCAGTGTGCAGGTGCTCAGCGTGAGCCCTTCGTCTGCTGAGACACCAGCGCCAGTTTCACATGACACTGGCTGGTGGTTTCCGTTGCCATGGAGACATTTCCTTCTTCCTGCATCAGGGCCGGTTGGTAATCTGAGTCAAGGTTATTCTCCTCCCTCCTCTGCTCGCTCGCTCCCTCCCTTCCTCGCCCGCTCGCTCTCTCTCTGCTCTCCTCCCAGACTGGGCAAAGCGCCGCCATCAGATAAAGTGACAGTTAACACACTCCCGCACACATCATCACCAACAGACAAATGATTCCTGGTGCAGCTCTGTCTGGAGGACTTATTTCCTCCCTTTGTTGAGGCTGTTAAGGAATTCTTAGTGATGCATATTCTACTTTCCATCTCTTGTGTTTCCTCTGAGAAAGTTTCACTCTCAAGTTTTGCCTTTTGTGCAAACTGAGAAACTGAGCCTGGCTGGATGTGAGTGTAAGCCTCTTGACAAATACGTTTTTGCTTCTTTTCATGTCTGCACAATAAGCAAAATGCCACAAATACTCTAAAGCTCTGAGTTATTTCTCTTGAAAGCATTCTAAGCTTAGATTTCTTGTTCTGGATCTGCTGTGAGGCTCGCTGTCTTAAAGATGATCACTTTGACATAAAGACTAATCTCTGAATAATAATCGTCTTTACTCGCTTTGCAATCAGCCAAATAAACTGATTGTTTCCTCTCGTTGAATCTTCACATCTGCTGTTGTTGTTGTTTTTTCACATGTTGCAGCATACGAGCTCATGAAGAGAGTGACAAAGGGATTGAAAGTTTGCAAACATGAAAATAAACAATGCATTATTTAATGTAGTAAATGTTTTATGAAGCCATGTTTTATTTTGGGGTTGAAATATACTTGAAGTATTCTGGAGGGGAAAAAACAAAATCAACTTAATTCTGTTTACTAGACGTCGCTGTGGGGGCTTCTTGAACTTTTTGAATAAAAGTTCTGAACAGAATAAGTTCAAAAACAAACAATCCTGTTTCACTTCAGCATATTTCTCCTCCCCCTTTTGCAGAACATCCCGATCCTCTGCGAGTCCAAATTAGCTTTTTACACGTGCACAAAAACTCCTGAAAATGTCATGACGTTTTTAAAAAAGTTCACTCCCACTTTACCCAGACTTCTTCCTGCTAGACCTTTGGTCAAATGTCAGCTTGAAGTCGGGGGGGGGGGAGCCGATCTGTTAACGCAGCAGTTAAAAAGTCTGGAAATTTCATCATGGGCAAGCGAGGAATTCAATTCTGACATTTATATCACGTCACCACTGTTTCATTGAGACTCTTAACATCTGAAACAAAAACGGTCATAGCGTCAGACTTTGCTTCACCTGCCATCCTTGATATCTTGTAAACATCACGACCTCAGCCTCCTTTTTACCCCATGTCATACCTCCAGACACCCCCCGCCCTCCCTGCTGACAGGGAACCCCTCCCACTGTGAGGCTGTCCTGACGTCTTAGAGGACTCTTTTAGGACTCTACATGTAAAAACAGCGAGACTTTGTTAATCTGGGTTGTAGACGTTTAATTTTATTCTTTCTCTTTTCTTGCAGGCCAACGGGAAAGGTTCTCTGTGGTGCGTCGACCCCGAGTACCGCCCCAACCTGATCCAAGCTCTAAAGAAGCAGCACTTCCCTGCCGCACATGCCTTCTGCACACCACCCGCCTCCCCACCCAGGTAAACATCCCCCCCCCCCCCCTCCCGACCCCCGTCTGGGTTACAGCAGATCATGTACTGGCTTCAGTCATTATCCATTGATTTGCGGGGCTTTGTATTTGATGTGTGAGGTCTGTATTCCTGTAACTGAAACTTTTGAAAGGTCACATCTCACTTTGTCTTTGTCCTTTGTTTACCTCCTGCAGTGCCTCCTCACCCCCTCGTCATCTCTTTCTTCAAGGCTGCTCATTCAAAGGTGAGAGCGTTGCAGACTCATCTCAGTGTTTAAAGTTCCAAATGTTCACCGTTAAAGCTTCCTGCACTGCAAGAATCCGAAACAAATCCAACCTGTGCAGTTTTTCACTTTGTGTTTGTGCAGTATTTTGATTTTGTTGCCTTTTGCACATTTCAGCCCCAGAACATTCAGCATCACTGCGCTTTTATCCTCAACTCTTGGTTGTTAATGTGTATCGCTTTTCAAGTCATTGATGCCCTCGTGTAGACCGTGATGTGGAGAGCTCCCAGTCGAAGTCTCAGCCTCCTCCTCCTCTCCCCTCTCCCCTCTCCCCTCCTCTGCCTCTTGGATTTGTAACCTTGACGACAGGCAGAGGTTCTGCCGGTGCAGAGTGTCGAGCACTCAGTCTCACTGTAATCATTAATAATTTAGAGCCCCAGAAGAGAGCTCTGAGGCTCTTAAGACACTTTGTCAGGTCTGAAAAGATCGGGATGCACTCTCAGTATCGGTGGCTTGAATTCATCCTCTTGATTGTTTTTGTTGAGCCTTCTATTTATCAAATCAGTCCAGTAGATGCTAGCCCCTTTTCACACTTGAACTGCTTGCTTGAAAAATTCCCCCAAAAATGTCCAGGAGTTTTTTCTGCCAGCCTCCAAGTAAAAATGTCTGTAAGAAGTTGGGGCGTCTTGTGGAACATCCTCCTACAAGTTGTAGAGATGCAAAACTAGAAACAGTTACTGAAGACTCCACCTCCTAATGCACGTACTCCCCAGCCCCCCCCCCCCCCCTCCCCTCCCCCAAACTAAACATAAAGTATTTTGAGTTGTGCGAGGGCGTCGGGTGCAGATTATCTCGCGCTGTGAGGTGCATGTGTGTGACTCTGAGTCTTGAATTGTGTACCAAATGTCAGGAGTGCAGGTGTGAAAAGGGCAACTTGTAGTTTAAAATAATCCCATTACAAAGCCAGTCCTCCCAGTCCTGAAAGAGTTGAGATGCCATAGCTTTCATTGCTTTCACGCGCCGTAGGACTGACCATCATGCATGTTCTCTCCTCTTCCAGAGTCTGACATTGATGCTGCCACTGCCATGATGCTCTTAAACTCTGCCCCCGGGCACCACGTTGACCCATGTAAGAGAATCCACGAGCAGCCATACTGTCACCTGTTCTTCCAAACTGTTTGTCTGATTCCACTCTCACACACATACCACCCTTTCATTGCTTTGTTTCTTCTTTTTCTTTGGTGTGCTATTCTTTGTGATGTGTACATGTTCTTACAAGTAAAAAAAATGTTGGTTCATGCACAGAATCGTAATCAAGAAAAGTTTCACCCAATTCTGCCTGTCAAAAATCTTTAAAAGACATTTCAGGATTAGCTTTTAATATTTGGGAAATACCAAAGCCAACAAATGGTTTACCTGGCTGAGGATGAACACCGGAGACTCTGGGGGGGAAAGCTAGAAATGCTTCAACCTGAGGTGACCAAATCCAAGTTGTAGCGCTTCTAATTCAAAAATTCACAACGCCCAATTCTTTGTGTTTATAAAGGTTGTTTCTCGGACTATTTTAGGCTGCGACCATGTTGTTGGAAAAACCGTCTGATAATCAAGAACTGATGTTACATCCTGTGTATGAGACACACTTTTAGCATGAAAGATATTTTTAAACGAGGGTTATTCATCTGGTTAGAAACAAGTCTTAGTTCTGCTTTCCTCGTGTTAACAAAGCCGCTTAGAGCGTCAGTGTTCCCTGCACACTGTCTGATTTCTGCTTATTTTTAAAAGCTAGTAGAAGGCTGTGCACAGTAATAATAATAATACATTTAATTTGTAATGCACTTTACATTTTTCCCAAAAAATCTCAAAGTGCCACAGAAAGAAAAATAGAAAAAAAAAAAGTTAAAGTAAAGTTATTTTAAACTCTTACTCTGTATCAGTCACATCCTTTTTTTAAAACATCTAGGTCATGTGTCGTCCTGTTCCTGGTAGTTTGAGGGTCAGTGTTCACTTGGGGCGTTTTATGTGCAGGCGGGGACGACCGTCTTAACGACCGAGAGCTTCTCATCCAATATTTCCTCTGGGATTAATAAAGTTCTATCTTCTCTTATCTAATCCCTGTTTACTGTTGCTAGGTCACCAGAGTTGTGTGCCTTGGTTTTGACCGTTAAAATCTGTTTTAAACTCGCTCTTGATGTTAAATATTATTTCCGTCGATTTAAGGAGACCAAAGAAACCATAAAAACGCTGGAAATGAGTCGAGCCCTGGAGCTCTGGACTGTACCCTCGAGTCTGAGTGCATAAAATAAACCGTGCAAGAATAAGGATTAGTTTCTCCTCTGCTATTGACAAACGTGATATCAGAAGTTCTGCCTCTTCTTGGTTTTGATTGATCGGTGAGGTAGGAGTGACTCTGACGAGAGCAGGTGTTTCAATATTTTAACTTTTTTCAACTGAGATTGGAAAAAACCCTCAGACACCAAGGAAAAAAACTCACTGCAAAAAACTTCAAATCTAAGCAAGCGTAGTGTTTAATTTCTGCTGAGAACATATCTCAGTACACTTCATATAAGCCTCATTCTCCAGACATGTCCAGATAAACATCGTATTATAAGAAAGAAGACCTGAAACAAATCTGCCAATAGAGCGAGAAAAAAGTTCTTGTTGAGTGTAAGAACTGATTCAGATACGGGCATCTCATTTTAAGACACTCAACTAGTGTTGTAGTCAAGACCAAGACACACCCGAGACCAGAGTGCTCCAAGACTGAGACAAGACCAAAACATTTAGGGGTCGAGACCGAGTCAAGATCAAGACCATAAATATCACAGAGAAATCATCATCTTGTGTGCAGCAGGCATTTAGATCGTAACACCGGGAAGGTTGCAGCAGTAACCAGGAGATAAAAATCAAACTACAAATGAAATGAGACCGAGACAAGACCGAGTAAAAATGCTTTCTACTCCGAGACGAGACCTTCATGAAGTCATCTCGAGACCGAGACACTCAACAACATTTCGCTTGCTCTAGAGACAGATTTATTTTTAACTCAAGGTGAGAAAGGCAGGACTTCAATGTGGCTTCAAATAAATGCGATTCGATATTTTTGACAGGAAATGAGACGCGCATACTTCCGTAGAGTTGTGTTTTTTTGCTGTGATAGTTTTGGACAGAAAATTGGCACTGCGAGTGCAAAAACAAACGCTGTCAGTGGACGCCTGCCTCAAAGATAAATCCAAAACACTACTTTCCTTGTTTGACTTTCTAGATGTTAAAATTCTTTTCTGAGAGGTTTCTCATGTTTTGTCCTGAACTTGAAACTAACAAAGCTCGCCCCCTTTCCTCAGCTCGTCTGTAACGTTAGTTAAACACGACCATAACATTCACTGTTAAAGCTTTAGGAAGGCTGTTTGCATTTGAATGGGTAATTACTCCCTTTTTTATTTTCTGCTCTGCAGGCAATTCTGAAGGCCCTCTGGACCTGTCCCGGCCCGACTCGGTCCTGGTGAGCAGCGATCCAAAGCAGGACCACAACTACAGCAGCGTGGCGCTGCAGCGCTGCTCCTCCCGCTCCTCCTCCTCATCCCTCTCCTCCCTGGACGAAGGGGGCTGCGACCGCCGGCAGTCCCACCGCGCCGGCAGCGAGGGCTTCCACAGCGACGAGGACTCCGACCTCTGGGACGAGAGGGGCGTCCACCAGACGTCTCGCCGCCCGCCCGCCATCAAGTGGCCCGTCGGCAAAAGGCCGCGCCGAGAGGCCAAGCCGGAGCTGGACGAGGAGCTGAAGGAGGCGGCGGGCTCGTTGCTGCACCTCGCCGGTATACGCAGCTGCACAGAGAGCTCCAAACGCACTGTCAAGAGCACAAAACTTAACAGGAAATGAAGATTTTTTTTGTTTCATTTTAGCCCCCCCCCCCCCATCAGACTCCCTGTGAACCCTAAGGTCTGACCCCTGATCGTGTGTCCCAGTGTGCCTCCTTCTCCTTATCTGATCGTTCATTGACCATTATGAGCCTTTTTTTCTGTTTGGGATTACCCCTGTCCAACAACACAAATGGCAATAGTATCGTTCACACAGGAGAACAAAGCCATATAGAGACTTTTGTAACTCGGGGGGGGTGACTGCCGGGGGGGGGGGGTTCGGTTTTTTTTGGGGAGCTGTGGAGAACCATCAAGAAAAACAAACCTATCCAAAACGACCTGCCTGCTTCTGTCGGATGAGAAGATTGTGATTCAGGAGTTTTCCCTCTGAAAGACAAAGACTGGGGGAAAAAAGCTGAAGGTTTTTTTATAACTCAAAGCGTTGCATGCTTCCTCCTCAAACCTGTATCCTCTTCCAAGTGAATCTATTTATGAAGCGAATGAGTGCATGTTTGTAACAGACGAAATCTAACCTCCTGGTGTTATCGGTTTCTCCTTTTTTGTGCTAAAGACAAAAAAAAAAAAAATGCCACTGTTTTCTGAAAGGAATTCTTTGCTCTATGAATCCTCTTTTATGAGAGATGCAATAATTAATCCACAACCTTAACTTTATTGACTTGAGTTCACCGTGGGCGTTTTTTTTTCCAGATTTGAGTATGAAAGTTCAACTTTTACAATTAAGAGAATGAACAGAGCAGTACTACGATCTTGTGATGCCACAGACGAGCTCGGGGCTCTATTTCAGGATTAGCAAGATGTTGAAATAGTATTCCTCTGCCACTGCCAAATTCAGTTGCAAAGTTAGCTGAACTACTTCGCTTCGGTTAACGTGCGGCCATCAGAATGAAAGCTTGTTTTTATTTTTTCGCTCATCCATCAGTGTGTGTTTTTTGACATTTTCTGTGCAGACGCCAGGACATATAGTCACATGTTTGTCCACAACCTATGCAAAGTGAACATCTGCCACGTGTTGCCAGATGTTCACCGTGTGCTCATAGGTTCTCCTCCATAGCTTTTATTTTATTTTAGCGTGTGTGTGTATCATAGTGCATGTCGGCTTCAGCCTGAACGGGAAATAACGGTGGTCAAAAGTTACCACCTCTTCACTCTCCTTCATTTGGATTTACAGATTGTGTTTTTTTTTTTTTTAACCATGTAGTTTAGAAAATCACAACACGGCTCATTTTTCTGTGGCCAACTTAATTCCCGCCTTGAGAACCAAGCGTGTCTGCTCTCAGTTAACATAAACGAGAGATGTCGGGCGTTAAAGGGAAAAATAAAAAGAACAGGACTCTGTGAGCGCGCTCCACAGACTGTATAAAGAATGGACGTCGTGTCCTCGCCTCCCCCTGCTGAACAGAAATGAAGCCAAAATACCCCCGGATATGGGCGCTGACAGTTTGAAGCAGACGCCGCTCACTGTTAATGAAAGATCGATGACTTCCTGTTTTAGTGTTCGTTACTGTCAAACACAACGCCGCAGGAGCCGCATTCAACGACAGAGCTGTCATCGTGTTTTATACTTTTTTATAGCATCGAATAACTAATTATAAATAAACTTCTCAGAAGAAGATAATTGAATACAAATCAGTGTGATAATAACTAACTTTCTATCTAGACCTTTTTTTAAACCCTATCTAGGGTTTAAGAAAATGTGTTTTTGTTTGACCTGTGTCTCCTCCGAGGTGGAGGTTTATGACCTGTACTGCAGCCAGCCAGTAGGGGAGCTCTAAATGTTTTGGCTTCACCTGAGGGGGAAGGATTGAGCTGTCCATTCTTTATACGCTCTTTGGTGCAGAGGTCAAAAGCCTGATTTATAGTTTTTAGGTTAGCAATGCTGCACTGCCTTGTAGTCACAGAGAAGCCTGACGTGCTCTCTCCTCAAAAAAGTAACCACGGACCCCAACCGCAAGCCCTGATTGGACCACTGGGTTGCATCGTATTTCCTGCATTAACAACCTTTCCAGGTGTCACTACCATTTTTCAAAATTCTGCCAAAGTAAGAGCACTACAAACCAGTATAATCATCTGCTGCACATTATGTGCCAGCTCCAAAACAATATAGAATATGCTCACTTTCAGTTGCCATGGTTTCCTGTAGACAAACAAGCAGAGCGTGTGGGGGAACCGAAAACGGCCAATATGTCTAGAATAGAAAATCAGGCTGTGGAGTATTGCAGAGCTATGCAGGCCAAATGCACAGATGTGTATTAATACATCGCGTCGATGCAGAAGTATAAATCAGGCTCAACAGGTGAGAAGTTGACGACCTTCTGCTGCTCTCATGTTGTGCCCTCAGTTCAGTCTTGCAGGCTTCTAGCGTTTCCCTCATTGCCCTTCCTCTTAGAACAAAAATAAGGAAGTGCACGCTCTCTTCTCAGGCGGTGAAGCGAAGTGTTTATTGTCAGTTGATTGCATGCAGCTCGCTGACGGGAAGTTGCGTAAAAATGCCACAGTCAGTTTCTTTTTTTTTAATTTGGGTTTTTAAACAGTTTGCACACTCGCAGTGCACAACACAAGGTAGCATGGAAGTACACACACACACACAAGATTTTTTTTCCCACAGTACTTGACCACATGGTGTCACTGACAATGTTAGTATAGCATGCATGGTGGGTGCCAAATGTTTCCTCGTGCCACTGATGTTAGACTGCAAAGGGGGGGCCGTGCTCTCTTTTATTCCCCCTGCTGCCACGATGTCCTTTTTTCTGATTTAGAGTAACGATGCCCTACTTCTCTGATTCATCCGAGCAGGAAATGAGCAGGAGAGGACTCTGGTCAAGCGCAGTGACTTACCAATCTTTTTATTTTTTATTTTTTGGTTTATTTTTGTCGCTTTAGAGTGGGAACTGCTCTCAGAACAGAGAGAATAAGCTGCAGTTCTCCAAAAGTTCGACTTGCATACACTGGTCTTGTTTAGCTGTGAAAAAAAAAAGACAACAGAACAAAATAATTGTTCATTAATCATCATTATTTATGACTTTAATTTATGGGATTATTGAATGCATATTCTTATCAAACACTGGTCGTTTGAAACGGGCTAGGCACATAGATTTTTCTCCTGTGAACTCCTTTAAATGCGTTTTTCTTTTTCCTCGTTTTATTTGACAGCAATACGCCTTTTTTTTTGTTCCTTTCACTATGTCATAGTGATGAAGTATTTTTTGCCAATGTTTTTAATTTTAGAGCGGGTGTTTTTATTTTCACTTTAACCATGACTGCCAGGTTTTGTTGATGTTTTGTTTTGCTTTGTGTTGGTCCTGATAGAGGACTCTTTATTAACACTGATCCTGAAAATCTGTCGTTTGCCAAATTTGACGTACAGCTGGGGGGGAAGAAATCTGAAGCGAACTCACTCTCCCACGTACCCTAGAGGTTATTTAAAGACCCTACCCTTTTTTTATATTTGTCTCATGTTCATGTTTAGACTTAAGTAGTCACAAACTGAAGCTCTCATCACAGATTAGAAATCTAAAGAAACGAATACTGCCATCGTAACTCATGCTTCCAGGGTATTGTTACGGGACGTTGAAATGAGTCGTCCCGTCTTGAGTGTCGGGGACAACTGCAGAGAAATTATGGAGAGGCTTGTAGGGGAAGAATCTCGCTCGCTCTTTCTGTAGCACTTGCAAAAAAACAAACAAATGTAATGTCGGTCTGGAAGTGGACGAGCGGCCGACTCAAACCCCCCCATCCGCTTTACTGCTCATCGGCTGTTATTGATTATTGGTTATGTGAGTCTCAAACTTCTGTTGCAGTTCCTTTTTTTTTTTTTTTGGGTATGATGATCATTTTGTTGACGAAGCTGCCAACCCAGTATCAGTTTGTGTCAGTCGTCTGCCAACGTCTATCGGGGGCCGACACACCTTTTTTGGTTTTTGTATGCTAACCTCTGTTGATAAAATGTTTATAAGATTTATTTTCGCCAAAGATATGCAATTGCATTATATATGGTATTACAAAATATTAATAAAAACCTGTTCTTGTTAAACACTGTGAGCATCTTCTTCTTCTTCAGAGTAAATCAGGACTGTGACGTCGACAACAAAAGACTGCATTGCTTTACATTAGCAGTCTGCATTAGCAACATTTCTGAGCAACGATGCCCCCTGCTGTGACGGCCACAGGATCGACATCTGTCCTGTCTTTAGAAAAGCTTCCTCTCCATGTACGGAGGCTGATGGGTCCAGGTTCTGGTCCGACCTGTCGCATGTCATTCCCCCATTTCTCTCTCTTGCTCCCTGATTTCCTCTTCTGTCCACTCTACGACTCTACGGTCAAATAAAGGCATCAAAAGCCCGGGAATAAATCTTTAAAAGAAGGCTTTCTGCAGCCCTTAACAGAAATAATCAGCCTTGTCAGTGAGGGTCTCGTTTGCTTTTTAAGGTCATGAAGAGTCGCCTGAATTAATTTCAGTCTGTTTCATAATCGGCTAAAAACTCCTCTCAGGAGCTTTAATCAGATGGCAACTGTTCAGATTAGTTAATAATGAAGTCTGAGATATTTCTGCAGAAATCTCCAGGTTACGTTAACTTCTCTCCTGAATCCAACAGTCGAAAACAAACAAGAACTCCCTCTCTTTCTTTCTCTTTCTTTCTTTCTTCTTTGAGTTTGTTGAATGCACCGACATGGCAGCCAGCCAGCTCCACACCTCACATTAATGTAGATTCCTGGGCTGTGCCAGTTGATGGATGCATCATCAGATGTCCTAACGACACTCTGGGCTGTAAGTTAATTAGTCATGGAGGACTGTGGGATGAACACAGTGTGACCCTGAACAAGGGCTTGTCTGACTAGCCTCAGGCCCGCTGGCACGGCTCTATTGTTCAATAGAGTCCTGTGTGTCGACTGGAAGAGGGAGGGAGTTCTCCCTACTGACTGCCTCAATTCAGCTGGAAATCAGAGCAGCATCACCCCCCCCCCCCCCCCCCCTCCCACATGGCCCTAGCAACCACGCCACGCCGACAGTTGCCGGGCAACCAGACAATGCTGGAGCCACTGGCTGTGAATGCGTGTGTGTTAGCGAGTTTGTGTTCTCCCTGTGTGCATTTAAGATCAGGAGAAAACAGCAGCAGAGGAGACGTCTTTATTTTAGCATAAAACTCCTTCTCCTGGATGTTTTTGCACGTTTTAAATAAAAACAGCTGATTGAATTAAAAAAGAAACAGTTCTTTAAAGAAACAGTGTTACTGCTTGCTGTATGTGGTGAAACGACGAGGAGATTATTATGGATTAGGTGAAATAATCGTGCAGGATTTGAGGCAGTGATGGCTGCGTTAGCAACGTGCCGTTTCACTTGTCGTCCCCCAAACGAGGTCATGTGAGTTTTAAAGGAGACTATCCTTCACAGGGCTGCAGCACGCTGGTGATTTCTGACCTTGTTTTTTGTTCATGCATCCAAAGCCCAATGAAACTCAGCAGTAAATAATTTAAAGGAAGCATCACTGTACTTAAATGTAAACGCCATTATGCACATCTTAAACAGAGAGGACAGGATGTAGTTATAATATCATATCTTTATTTTTCTGTCTTTTATTTCCTGATCTTTCTGCACAACCAGTACAAATATATACAGAGCAGTTTATAGCCGGCTTTGTGGATTAATAAAACCTGTGTGAATAATAAGTACCAGAAAACTTCAAATAAGAGCCCATCTCGATTTAAGGCCCAGTCCCTTTTAGCCCGGTGTTTCTTCACGTTTAGACAGATAAAGCTCTCAGCTCTCAAAAAGAAGCCTCTCTACATGCAGGGTTGAAAAAGTTTTTGGATCAAAAGTGTGGACAAAATGCAGCAAGACACAAAAGGGGCCTATTTAGTGACCTTTTCAACAGCCAGAATTTGTAAAAAGTGAAGTCACAAGTAGCTGATCAATTAAGTGTCAAATGTCAGATCTGCAAAGCCAGAAATATGTGCTTTTTAAAAAAATCTTAGAAGTGGAGGCACCAGTAGCCTATTGGTCAGGGTGCACGCCCAATTTGGGTGACCATGGTCCTCCAAGCAGGCGGCCTGGGTTCGGATCCGACCTGTGCCTCCCCTCATGCATGTCATTCTCCACTCTCTCTGTCCTTGATGTCAGACTCTATCCACTGACCAATCACTCAATTAAAGGCATAAAAAGCCCCCAAAACGTTTTAAAAATCTAACTATCTATCTTTCTATCTATCTATCTGTCTGTCTGTCTGTCTGTCTGTCTGTCTGTCTGTCTATCTATCTATCTATCTATCTATCTATATTTCTATCTATCTATCTATCTATCTATCTATCTATATATCTATCATCTATCTATCTATCTATCTATCTATCTGTCTATCTATCTATCTATCTATCTATCTATCTATCTATCTAGTCCACAAGGTGGCGCTAATGCACCTATAAAAGTATTTAAACAGCCATTAAACTTTAAAAGAGAGAATTGAAACGCTAGATGGCGCCCTTTTAAAACCAGCTCACACTTTTCTGTTTCTTGACCTCTGACGCTTTTGTAGGAGCTCATGATGCGTTCAAGTGTTCCTCGGATAGTTTATTTTCCTTATGTTTGGTAGACTGCTGGCGTTACGTCGATGAACACCACGAAGAAGATGTCTTAATTTTCCGATTTTAATCTATGCGAGCATTTACAATGTATCTGTGTACAAAGAAGACAATATTTCAGAAATCATTTAAATCTATTTTTTAAAAGACCGAAGAAGATCAAAGAAAAGAAAAAAAAACAAGTCCGTAAAAGTGAGTTTTTTATCAAGAATTAAATCACATCATCTTTGCCTGAACTTCTTAACAGTTGGCCAATATCAAATGCACAACAGTTACAGAACATTTATGGCAACAACCAATTGACACATGAAGGATTAATAAAGTTGTTTTAATTGGATTGAATGACACAAACTACAGTTTTGGGAAAAACTGAATATAGAAGCAAAATCAAAGAAGGTCTGGAGTGGCAAGAAGTGGAAAAGTAGGAGGTACATTATTTCAATCTACAACCATTAGGAAGTATATCTGTTATTAAGAAGATGTAGATAAGATAATTAGACTGAGACTTGGGGCACGATGGGTTCAGGGGCGATTCTAGAGTCTGTTTGGGCCCTAAGCAAAATTCGCTGGGGGCCCCTCCAACTAGCATTCGTCACCTTTATGTTCGGCAACTTAAAAGTGACACATTTAAGTTTTCACAGGAATATTGGGACGCTTAGCGCTGCAACAACAGTGAGTACTGTCAGATGGGACCCCCCTTAGGGAGGTTTTCTACTGTCATTGTAAAATTCTGAGGCACTTTTACATATGGTTTAAAGTTTGTCAGTCCTCAGTTGGGCCCCTCTAACTGGTCTGGGGCCCCAAGCAGTTGCCTGCCTTGTCTGTTGACAAGCAGCACCTCTGGGTGGGTTCAGCCAGTATTTACAGAATAAATAAATATTCTACTTTGTGAATGTGGCAGCCCAGATATCTTATTTTGCCTCGCTAATACGAGAACCACCACTCGATTGCAAAAGCAATTATTAATTTCTTACAAGCCACAGGATTGTATTTACATGTCAGTGATGTTCAGTCAAATGATTTATCTTATGTCTGCCTGTAGGGGGCAGTAACACGCCTAGATGCGCCTAAACCGCCACAATAGCTAAAAGAAGAAGAATAAGAATATACATTTTACACATATTCCGACGGAACGTGAACGCAGCATCAGTGGAGGGGGATTGTGCGGGTCACAAAATGAAGAGTGTTTGTTGTTTCTCCTCATGAATGGATCCTCAGTGGCTGTTAGCTTAGCTTAGCACTGGCTGTAATCGCGCTCTAATACGATTTGCGGACGCAGCAGCGGAGTATCGCGATAACATGAGCTGTTGTGTGACTCGGATGTCGGGATTTGTTTTGCTACACGGTTAGCCTGTTAGCTCACTCACACTGAGCGCGTCGCTGTCATGTCAGAGTAAAACATCCGGCTTTGTAAATTATTGTAAATCACATGACCACCGAGCAGGTCTTCCTGTGGGACTCGTTACCGGCTAGCTGTCATAATGTTAACAAAGTAACGGGACGAACAATAGTGAAGTTGTCACGGTGAGCTAAGCTAACCGGAGTTAGCTCCCCGTTAACGGAACAGTTGAAGCTAACTAGCATCATGGCTAACGTCACAGACCTGCAGACTAAATACAGCAAGCTGGCTCAGGAGTACTCCAAGGTAAAAACTAAAAACACGGCCTTTGTTTGCCTTTAATAAAGTTAATTATCTTTCATAATCACAACATGTTGTAATGATGATATCTGTTTCTGTAAAAGTGTTAAATGTTCTGCTGCTTTGGACAGATGTGTACAAATAAGTCTCTGTCCTTCTTATTCCTGTATCTCTATGTATCTAATTCTTCTATACTATTCCTTATTTTATTTATTTATTTATTATTATTATTATTATTGTTTTTTTTTTTTGCATTGTTAAGGAGAGGTTATAGACAAAAATAGTATTCTATACTATTTTATTTTTTTAATTTATTTAATTTAACATATTTAATTCATTTATTTATTTTATTTTATTTTATTTTATTTTATTTATTTATTTATTTATTTATTTATTTATTTATTTATTTATTTATTTTTATTTTTTATTTTTTTGCATTGTTAAGGAGAGCTTGGAACACAAACATTGCATTGCCAGCTATGACTGCTTTGCCCGTTATGTTGTGCATTTGACTAATAAAGATACCTGAACTTGAACTTGAACTGAGTCCAGCACAGTCTCAGCAGTTGGCTCTTCATCATGAGTCTGGTTCTGCTCCTATTTCTTGCCACTGTAACTTTGCTAAAAGTTGCTTAGTGCTGTGCTTATCGTGGACTAGTGTTGGGTCTTTGTAAATGATATAACAAGAGTAAGGTATGTTACCTGCTCTTGTGTTAAGTGTCTTTATATATAACGTGTTATTAATTGATTGGCGCTTTACAAATAAAGATTGATACAAGAAATGAGACTACACATTAATAACAGACATAGACTTAAAACCAAGAAAACATGATCTACAGCTGATCATAAACATTAGAATATAAACTTTTAAGGTAACAACAAGAACAACTTTTGTTCAGTAAGATAGTAGAGAGTGTTAAAGAAGCTGAAAAGATATAACAATTATATAACTTATATCTAGGGGTGTGCGATGTTGACAAAAAATAATATCTTGATGTTTTTTATAATGATAATTGACCATATTTTGCGTCACTCAAAATGTGTACCAAAAAACCCCTCAAAAGTCATTCAGGTAAACGCAGAACAAAAACACTGAAATCACCAGAGCAAAGTGTTTAGATCCAGCGGTGCGAGTAGGAGTCGTCAAGACATTTGTTGATCATAATAAGTGACTCGATGTTGTCATTTAAATGATCATTTAACGTTTACGATATTATCTTAGACAATATACTGTATATCGCACACTCCTACATCTATCAATCTGTTTTTCTTTATTTGTGTCGTGCCAAATCCCAACAATGTAAGCTGCCTGACACCTTTCATAAAGAGCAGCTCTAGACCGTACATGACGTTGTATTATTTAAGACCCAACATTAATCCACTACGAGCACACCAATAACATTTAGAACAAGAGGCAGAAACCTCGAGTAGAACCAGACTCATGTTGAACAGTTATATGTACAAATGTTTAAGGTTAAGAGGCGATGGAGAGAGATGCAGAGAGAGAGAGAGAGAGAGAGAGAGACAAACAGAACAACATCAACAACAATAAATAAGAGAGTTTATAGCTTCAATGTGGGCGTGCGGCCAATCCACTAGGCCACCAGCACCCTCAACATATTTTAAAGACAAGATAAGGATACACACAGCTACAGTTGCACACTCACAGGGTACAAATGACTTAGAGGAATTTATCTACACTGTGTGTCAAGGACAAAAGCATACATAACTTTATATAATCTACAAACATGTCATTGTTGAAGATGTCAAAGCAATCAATTTAAATATACAAATGTTGTCAAGTTGGGCTCCAGGACTCTTCCCATTTTAAAATGTTTGTTTTGCAGTCTCTCCGATATTTAAGCATGTTTTTATTTTACTGATTTTATGCAGTGATTGTGACAGCTAAATCTACAAATCAGGGTGTATTCAAACATTGAAAACATATATATATATCATGATTTACAGACACAGTGGATGTTTGTGTGCACATAAATCATCCATGTAAATGTGTGACAGGTGTTTACTGTCCGTCATCATCAGATAATAAATAAATACTGACAGGCATGCTGCAGGCTGTATGCACATGCAAACGTTCTGTCACAGTGGGTTAGTCTGTGTACATTTGTCTCTGCTTGTACACCTCGTTATACTTTTACACTTAAATAGCTTACAGAGAATTCAAGCAGCTTATAGAAATGTTATGAGAATACGACTTAAGTGACGTGGATGGTGTGGTGCAGGCCTAATGGATGTGGCTGCAGGAGTCAAATGCTTTGGGGGAAGAAGATATCGCACAGTCTGGGATGACGAGAGTACTATCCAAGCTGTTCATGACTGTACACTTATCTTAAATGAATTCACCAAAGACAAATCAACACCCCTGCACTAAGTCCAGCCTGAATCAAGGTTGCATTGTCTTTTGGAGACGGGTTGATTCAGCTTGATAAACTGGATGTTTAAAGGGTCATTTAGATTTCCTGCTTAACTCAGACGATTTGTTTGACTTATTCTCCTTTTAATAAATATTATTCATATTAATAGAGGCCAACATCACCCCAAACTAGAGCCTCCAAAATGACCGTAATATTGAAGCAGCTCAGAATGACCCAGGTTTACATAATAAAGAGAAACGGGTTGTAACTGATATTTTTATTATTTTGTGCTTAAACTCAAATGTCTGTTCGCTGCATTATGTGACGGCTGTATGACAAATTACTTATCCGGCTATTATAGCTGAATCTAAATATCATATATATTTTAAATATCTAGAGGTCAAAGTCTTAATTTGTTAACAAGTGACAGTAAAGCCAGCTTCAGTGTGTTTTCTCTTAAGAGCTGTGTGCGCCCTTTGTTGGGTGTCAGCTGACAGCACGGGGCGTGCGTGCAGTTTCCTGTTCAACTCTGATCCCCCAGTTAGCCAAACACCATGTCCCGCTCAGGAAGTGCTGACTGTGCAGCTGTCACACAGACTCCCTGGCAGTTTATGTGGTTAAAGGCCACCGGACATTGAGTTTGCAATATTTTGATGACTCATTTTGAAAAAAACAGTAATTACACACAAGTCCTTAAAGATTGTTCATTTAGCATTCCCGCTTTTTTTTAAGCTTCCATTGAACTTAATCCAGATGTCAGATTACATTTAACGTTGCTTTTATTTTCCATGTCTCAACATTTTCTTGTGTGTTTTTGTCACAGCTCCGGGCTCAGAACCAGGTGCTGAAGAAGGGAGTTGTGGATGAACAAGCCAACTCGGCCTCACTAAAGGTGAAGTGACATATTAACCAGAAGCAGCATCAACGATCAGGACCAGAGCTGGAGAAAGTTTTTACTGGCTCAGTTATTAAGACACATCCAAACTGTTTAGGGAGTCCCAGATTATCAGGGGTGGAAGTAAACAGAGGCCGCACAATATGATATAATGTGGAGCTCTGTGTTAGTACGACAAACTTGAACAATCTTAATTGTATCCAATACGTTTTGCAGCATCTTCAGCAACAGAAAGCAAGTTGTAGTGACAATCTTATAACCAAAAAGGAGGCCACTTCAAGTCTTTTCCCACACATGGTGGGTTGGTTGTCCGTTGTGAAACACGTTTGAACTCTTTATTATTTATTAATCATCTTAAAAACACCTACACAAGATGGGTGTTTACTGCATTGAGTTAAAAACAAAGTAAGTATGAAAAAAGAAAAGCAGGACCCAAAAACACATGGTTGTAACAACTGTGTGGCCCCCTATTCATGCTGAAGTTGCACAATAATACAATCCTGAAGAGCCATATTCTTCAATGAAAAGTAAATTCTGTACAGGGTGTCTTCACAATAATTGAGAGTTTTGGTTATGGTGAATATATGTACAG